CGTGCAGCTGCCCCAGCAGAAAGGCTGCAGTGGGCAGCAGCTGCACGCTGTGACGGAGGGGCCGGGGCGGGGGGGAGGGTGTTGCCACTTTTGAGGGAGAAAGGCCAGATTTGGGGGCTTTTTGGCCCTGCCAAATGGTTGAGTGCCATTCTCCCACCATCCTCCTCCTCGCCCCAGCTGCCGCAGGCCTCGCGCTCAACCCTTCCTGCAACGGGTAGCACTGAATTTTGGTATATCTAGTAGCAACTGTGCTCCCATGATGAAAAAAAGCTGTCAGCTACCTCTGACAAAGGAGGGCTGTTGAGTGCCGTGTCATGACAGGCACCCAGTTGCTACTAGACATTGCCAAATGATGAATTTAAAGCTGTTCGCCCGCAAGTCAGACATGAGTGTCACACACCTTCCTCTAGCTGATAGCCTCTGGTTTAGTCCACGGTTTGCAGTGCCCCAGCAGGGCTAGGAACCTCCATCCTGAGCTAGCCTAAGTCTGAACATTTACAGCCTCTACGTGTCGCAGGATAGTGTGAGGGGGGTGGGGGTCTCCAGCCCTAGGCTGATAAAACCCAAATTTATCTAATCTAGCCCTAATCCCTGGGATTTCTGTTGTTAATACGACAAGTCTCTGTTAGCGGAGGGTAAGTTTACAGGCGAATTTCACCTGGCATTAGCAATCATTGGCAATGTGTACATTTTACTAGAGGAGATGCATGTATGTGCGGTAATCACAGCAAGGAGGTACAACTAAGAACATGAGCTTTGCCTCCCAGACTCTCAGCATGGGTACTGTCACTTTACATGCTGGTTTTCAAACATTTTGAGGCTTACAGATTTTTGCTTTGGTAACTGTGTGCGTGCGTGTGTGCGTGTGTGTGTGCGTGCGTGTACGTCTGTGCAAACACCACAGGCGCGGCTTTAATTCCTTTGAAATCCAAAGCTGCCAAAAACTGAGTAGGTAGGCTCTTTGCCTGATGCCTCCCATAATCTGACAGAAACTTTTGCTGTTCTCCATCAGGGCTTGAGGGGAAGGTTGTGAGGTGTGATTTCAGGGCATATGTGGATCTGTTCATCCTGAGCAATGCATTTTAAGAGTTGCAGCAAATAGTGTAAAGAAACCTGCAGGTATTACATTAGACCAGCTGAACCTAATTTTAAGTTTTATTCAGAAGCATCACATAGCAAGTAAACTTCAAAATCTAAGTTTAGTTACAAACTAGTTGTTTCTTATTTTTTTTTTCCAGTCCCCTTTTGCTTTCTTTTACGACCACATGAAACTTGAGAAGCCATCTAAAGCTAAATCATTTAGTGGAGTTGGGCAATTCCCAAGTGTCCAACAAGAAGGCCTGGTTTAGGCTGCGATGGCCACTGTCATTCCTGGTGATTTGTCAGAAGTAAGAGATACCCAGAAAGTCCCTTCAGGGAAACGTAAGCGTGGTGAAACCAAACCAAGAAAAAACTTTCCTTGCCAACTGTGTGACAAGGCCTTTAACAGTGTTGAGAAATTAAAGGTTCACTCATACTCTCACACAGGAGAGAGGCCCTACAAGTGCACACAACAAGACTGCACCAAGGCCTTTGTTTCTAAGTACAAATTACTAAGGTATTAAACTCTATTTATCTTTCAGATTATATTATCTATTTTATGTTGGCCGTGTTAAGCCTTGTAAAAGTATATATTTGTGTACGCCTTCAGCTGATTGCAGAGAGGATGTGTTAATTAAAGTAGCCATTGGATTGTTTCTAGAATTCTAAATTACCTAAGTTTGCAAGCTAATGTCTTTGATTTTGTTTCTTAATTTGTTTTCTGCTTTTGTTTTCTCTTTGTTTGTTTGTTTGTTTTTTTTGTTTGTTTTTTTTTAATGAGCATAGAATTTTCATTTGTATAAGGAATTGTCACAAGAAAAAAGAGTATGGACTGAAAATTTTTGGCTATGGACTTTTACATGAGTACTTTCATACTTACCCATATACCCCTCTTACAGTAGCTAAACCCCACCAAACCTAAAGTGTTGATTTAAGAGAAATGGCTCGTGTTTTGCTATATTTAAATTTGTCAAACTGTCTTTGTAGTGTCATGCTTTCAGTTAAAAGGTTCTGTTGCAAAGCAGCCCTTAGTGTAGTATTTAGCTGCCATTAAAAAATGAGCACGTGTGTTTTTTGATCAAAATAATTACTTACAGAATATATCTGTGTTTAAAGGCATATGGCTACTCATTCTCCTGAGAAAACCCACAAGTGTAATTATTGTGAGAAAATGTTTCACCGAAAAGATCACCTAAAGAATCACCTACATACACACAATCCCAACAAAGAGGCCTTTAAGTGTGAAGAATGTGGAAAGAACTACAATACCAAGCTTGGGTTCAAACGTCACCTGGCTTTGCATGCTGCAACAAGCGGTGACCTCACCTGTAAGGTATGTTTGCAGACTTTTGAAAGCACAGGAGTGCTGCTGGAGCACCTAAAAACTCACGCAGGCAAGTCATCGGGTGGAGTGAAGGAGAAAAAACACCAGTGTGAACACTGTGATCGTCGGTTCTACACCCGAAAGGATGTCCGTAGACACATGGTAGTGCACACTGGAAGAAAGGACTTCCTCTGTCAGTACTGTGCACAGAGATTTGGGCGGAAGGATCACCTCACGCGCCACATGAAGAAAAGTCACAACCAGGAACTTTTGAAGGTCAAAACAGAGCCAATGGACCTTCTAGATCCCTTTACCTGCAATGTTTCTGTGCCTATTAAGGATGAGCTGCTTCCAGTGATGTCTTTACCTTCCAGTGAACTGACATCAAAGCCATTTACAAACACTTTGCAATTAAATCTCTACAACACTCAGATTCAGTCCATGCAGAGTTCTGCATCTGCACACCAAATGGTTGCCACATCATTACCATTGGGAATGCCTTGTCCAATAGATATGGAGTCTGTCCACCCTTCTCACCAGCTATCGTTGAAATATCCGCTCGGTACTACCTCATATGCAATTTCTATGCCTGAAAAAGAACAGCCATTGAAAGGGGAAATAGAAAGTTACTTAATGGAGTTGCAAAGTGGTATGCCTTCTTCATCCCAGGATTCTCAAGCATCTTCATCAAAACTAGGGTTGGATCCACAAGTAGGGCCACTAGATGATGGGTCTGGGGAGGTTTCTCTTTCCAAGGGCTCCGTTCCGATTAGCGAACCTCTAAACACCCCATCATTGGACTTTTCTCAGCTGTTCAACTTCATACCTGTAAATGGCCCTCCCTATAATCCTTCTGTTTCAGTGGGAAACCTTGGAATGAGTTATACGCAAGAGGAGGCACATTCTTCTATGACTCAACTTCCACCACAAACCCAGGATCCACAAGATCCTAGCAATAGTATAGGTCTTGGGTCTCTGCACTCATTGTCAGCAGCGTTCACAAGCAGTCTAAGCACAACCACCACCCTACCACGATTTCATCAAGCTTTCCAATAGGATGTACAAATCTGGCTTTTTACTGTCTATTTGTAGAAATGCCTTAGGTGACCATTTTTAACTTAGTGCCTACTATAAGACATTATAAATTCTCTGCTTTTGTACAGTACCAATCTCATGAAGCCAGTAAGAAATTTAAATTAACTTTTTAAAAATGTTTTGAAAGTGTTTATTCTCAGCTGTGTTTACTTTATTGTTTTTTTTAAAGCAGTCTCATTGTAATGTTTTCATTTTCACTGCCAATTGACACATTTAAAATGTTCAGTAGAAAGTCATCCCAAGCAAACTCTCAACACTCATCCCTTTTTAAAAACTTCTTCAACCATAGCAGCTATTCTGTTTTATTGGTGTCAGTGGTAGAACTACCACTTTTACCTTTTAATATATTTTACTGTTTGCAAAGAATCCAGTTAAAATATGTTTCACAAAGATTCCTGAAGATTTGGGAAAAAAAGTTCTCCAGTCCATTTCCAAACAAATCCTCTTCCCAAATGGTGACACATCTGATCTCTTCTATAATGACAAATCTAATTTTTTTAATAAATATAGAATTCAGATTTTTCTGAAAACTGGTGTGTGTATATATATAAGTCCGTATATACACATGTACATATATATAGCATTTTGACTTGTATTGAAGTCATTATAAAAGGTATTAAGAATTTTGCCATTTTCTGGCTTAAATTTTTGTGGCCTGTTATGGATAGCGGAAGAAAAAATTTAGTTTAATTCTCTAAAATTGTGGCTGAACAGAATTTCAACAGAGAATCTCTGCTTGCCTAAATGACAAATGTTTCAAGTTGAATTTGGAACTGTGTTGTGCTTTCATGACTCTGGTAGAGGGAAACAGGCAAAATTAATGGCTGATCTTGAAATATAAAGGTGTTGTAGTGTAGTGATGCAGAATATTTTGTCGCAGTTTTTGTTTTAATTCTTAACTTGCTGTTTTTTTCTCTTTAGTAGCATAGAAAGAGTACTGCATAGGAATCTTCCAGTAGTGTATTCACATTTGTAGACATCAGTCTTCTCCCAGATGCCACCGCCAAAGGGTGGATCAAGTCCAGCCAGAAAGTGTGTATCTTTTTTCAGTTCAAAACTAGTGTGCAGTCAGAGAGTGAATGTAAATTTGCAAATACCATTTTTCTGGGGTTTTTTTATTGGAATGATCTTTTCACTTGTGTTACATGGTGTGTTATGTCCTCCTAAGCAACAAGTTAGATGTTAATCACACTTTCTACACCTGGGTACTTGGTTAGGGACTTTTTGCCCATTGCCAAGATTTAAAGACAGGACTCTTAGGAGTGAAGTAAAAGCATATTGCTTACACCACTTTTACCTAATGGAAAAAAAAAAAAAAAAAAAAAACCAACCCTGTGATGCATGAAAGCAAACTAGATTTGCTGTAATTCAACAATAACATTCTTTTCCTTGTCATTTTTGTACAAGGAATTAAAAAATAGAAATCAAGTACATTAGTATCTCTCAAACAATAATGAGGATTCATACAAGGTTTTAAGTGGTTAAACTAAATACACTTCACAGAAACAAAAGTTGCTCCCATTTAAGGAGCTCATGCTCCGGATGTTTTATCAGTAGCTCCTACTTTTTTTTTTAATTCTAGGAGCAATATGCAGGTGTAGTTTTACTATTTTATACATATGTGTATTTAAATTTTATTACTGAAAGATAACATTTTTATAAATGTGTTTGTGTTCCAAAGGCATTAAAATAAGGATGTATTAATAAGGAAAATACCTTTTGAAATTCTGCAAACTACTCCTAGATTTTGGGTTTAGGAGCACATTATCTCAAAGTGGGCTTTTAGCTCTGCTTCATGACTGCTTCCTCTGGTTTCTGTGAAACAGATTGCTCGCTTACTTACATCTTTAGTTGAATGATTTGTTCAATATTGCTTTTTTTCTCTTCAACTTTCTAAAGGAAAGAAACACAGATGAACAGAGCACAAGTTGAATGCAACCGAATGTAACTAGTTTAAATCAGCAACCGTAATGCATCTAGGAAGAACTCGAGTTTATTCTCAATCCTTTAAATCAATCAGAGATGAAGATAAGTGGACTTAATTCCTCCAGTGGGTTATGTCCCGCATGGAGCCAAGCATCTGCAACTCTCCCTGCAGCAGAGGGAAGTTGTCAGTGCTCGGCATCCTGCAGCTGGCCCAGCAGCGTGGCTAAGGCAGTGATGCCTGTCCTGGGCAGCCTCTGACACTCAAATTTCCAGTCCATAGTGACTGTTTATCAGTCTCAGTTGCTGATGAGGTTTCACTAAAAAAACAAAACCCAACAGACGCTTTGCCAACACCCGTTTCTTAGTGCATAGCCAGAATCCTTACCACTTTGTTCGTGCCTTAGCTTCCTGTAAAGGGATTGACATTTCACTTTGGAGTTAGATGTACATTTCACTTGAGAAGTAGGGACCTCAGACAAGATATTGAACCTCATTCAGTCAGGATTTCAATGGGTGGCTGCACCGAGTGCGTTTGCCACTGAACTAGGATGTACGGTAATGTGGAAGCAGACCGAGATTGTAAGCAATACTACCACCACCGGAGTGCTTTTGAGTATCACTTAGGCAGAGACAATACTGGCCACTACTAAACCATCAGTTTTTAAACCCTGTTTTCTCTATTTCAGATGGATTCTTGGCGGGAGGGGGGGGAGGGCTGGCTGATCATGCACCACTCTTTGTGCAACTTCTAAACTTCTAGTAAGGTTTTTTTTTTTTTAAATATATATATTTTTGTGTACTTGTTGCTTGTGCTTTATTTAGTAGTAAATTGTGGAATAGAGTGATTTATTGTTAATTTGGCAGTAGCGGTTTTTAAAAACCATATACTGACTGAAACATGAGCCAGAGCTGATTGCTTTATTAAGCTAATAATGAATGTTAAGAGTACATATTTTCAGGATCATTTGCCTAGTGAGCTAAACTTGTATTATAGGCCAATATTTTTAAAAATAAAGCTTGGTCAACCTCTATGTTACACATATTACAAGATATAGCACTTTCAAAAAGAAAACCTAAACCTTTTAAGAAAATTTCTTACAGGTTATGCTTTTTATTATAAAACCTTTTATTATAATTTGTTTCAAGTGCCATTAGATTACATATATGTAGGCCTTTGGTATAATGCTTTGTGTACAAAATGGTAGACATTGTAATTTTAAACAGGTACATTTTTACAGTGTTTTCTTATCAATTTGCTATATTGCACAGAACCAGTGTGTCTTTCTTAAGGGTTTTACAATGGTTTTTACTAGGTTTACATGTTTCAAACTACACTGTCTTCTACTGCCATTTTGAATACCAGTCAAAAAAATTAGGAGTTTGTCCTCACCAATTGCAAACTGTGTCCTCTGGAGTTCTGGATGGTAAACTATGGCAAAAATGTTTAATATGCAGTATCTGATACAGATTTTTTTTATCATATCCTGTCATCGCTATGCTGCTGTCTGAAGTTAACTTAGGGCCTGCTCCTGCATCCGTAAAGGTCAAGGGGAGCAGGATTGCATCCTTTGTTATATCTGTCTCATACACTGGTTTAGCAGCTCATCCTGTATTCTTCTCAGTCTATGGATAAGCCTCTGAAATAAATGTACGTACCTGGTATGTAGTAAAACGTATAGGCTTAGCTGCCCATCCTGCATTCTCCCAGTGTACAGTTAAAACCACAGCCTACTTAGCATCACGCTCAACATACAAATAACACCACAGTAGTGCAAAATGTGTTTGGATAGTCCCAGAGCTTTTATGCAATAAGGGTGTCTTACTTTTGTTGGAAGGCAGTGTCTTTTGATAACAGTTATCTAGCCCTGGAAGTGACACAGAACTATTGCTAATCATATGTAAACACTTTTCAGTATAAGCTTCAGTGGTACAGTTGAACCAGAGTGAATGTTTATCTCCTCAGAAACACTCCTGCAATATTGTTATATTGGATCATGCTGCTAATGTAACTTGGGATACAACTCCTCTCATGGTGCTACAAACCTCCCTGTCTCATTCAGATGTATTTTTACCCATAGAAAAAAGGACTATACTAGACCTATAGTTGTATGATATATTTTTATACTGTGACTTAATTTGTCATTAATGAACTTTTGTGCAACACCACAATGTATTCATATGCACTTGGAAAAGTAAAATTTTGGACATGCAAATTTTGGACACGCTGACAAGCCCAGCTCTTGTTCACAAAAATAGGTGACTGCTAGTTAAAATTAAATGTGGGCTTTTATATGGTGTGAAGTGAAGAACATACTATATATTACTAAAAGCCTTTGAATTTAGACAAAACCTGGGAAAAGTATATTTGGGAATGATGACACACCCAAACCTGACTCGGATTGCTGAAATTCTATTTTTAGCTAGTGGAAAAATTGTTTGGACTTGTGTGCTAAAATGTTTTTAAGATAAAAGTTTTGAGTCAAAAATAGAGAAAAAAAAGAACACAGAAAACCCTGCATTCCAGACTGAATTTGTATATGTTTCTTGCATTTAAAATTTGCTATCCTGTGATATGGGAAATTGAGTTGCTTATCATGTATATGTACTTTAAAATGTATTCACAAACTACTGTTGTATTTGTATAAAATATAGACAAAAAGATTGCATATATATTTTTGTGTATAAGCTCTGTAAAATAGCAATCACATTATGAAGCTGCAGCAGAACTTCATTTTAAACATTCACATCCAAAGAAACAGACTATTTATTGTCCACATACCCTGATTATAAAATATACCTTGCTGCTATTAAACAATAGTGCTGCAGCTTCTTGTGGCCTACAGTGTTATGTTTGCTGTACAAAAATATGTGAACTCCACAAAATATATCAATAAAATTACAGAATGGTTTTAGTTAATGAATAACTTATGCCTGGCATTTCAATAGATAATCTTGTTCTGCTTGTTTGGGATTACAAAAAGTAATTACAGAATACATCCAGTTTTGCTGGGTGTAGTTATTCTGAGTTTGAAAAGGTGTAACTGTCTTTCTAATTTGTGCCTGGTAAAATGTCAGTTTTTCAGAAGAACTTAAAGCATAAGTATCTCCGTTTCATGATTTCACCAAGAACAAATTGGATAATGCTACTGTGTCTGTGACAAGACAGAGCTGAACTGAAGGAAACAATTGAGTTTGCCATCAAATTGCACTTTAAACACCATGGGACACTGGAAGGTGAGTTTGAGGCTTCCGTAGTGGGACTACTCGTGTGGGAGATGTAGGTGAGTGATTCTCCATCATTTCAGATTAATGCAAGTCATGTACTTTGATTGTTGTAGTTTGCAGGATAAACTGTTAAGTGTATGGCATGTGCTAGACACAGTATGTGGGTTGTCTCAAAAATATTCCAGGAGAAAATCTGTTGCTTTGCTCCTATAGACCTTCCGTCTGCGCATGACACTGCTGAAGAAGTCTGACTAATGACTGGGGGGAAGAGGTGCTGTGCAGCCAGACGAGCAGCCTGCTCACAACTGCAAAAAGTTGCCTCTCCACTCGTTCCACACGGTTGTTCCCTAGCATAGACTGTTTGCCAGGAAAGTAAAAGAGTAGCATTTCACGTTTCATTGCTTTTCGGAACATATTTTATTGACATCCTCGGCATTGTCTGTGTTTTTCTCCTTTTGGGTTCCTTTCTTTTCCAAATCTTGACTTTTTAGATTTCTTTCTGTAACCCTGTCTGAGAGAAACTATTGTTACAGAGTTATTGTCTTTCACCTTCTCTGTACATGGACACTTTTCCTTTCTTGTGATGCCTACCCCTTTTCTCCGAGCTGACTTACCACTTCTGTGTCACAGGTTTCTAACTTGCTTGAGAGAGTTGACCATGTTATATTGAGCATCAAAAGCTCTACAGATGCTCTACGTTATGAAATACTCTGCAAAACCATTTATTCACCCCCCTACCCTGAGAGAAAACTACTGCATTGTGTCACTATCGTGGCTGGTCTCACCACTGTTACTGAATTAACATGTCCTCCTTCCAAACAGACACCCTCTAGAAACCCTGTCGGCCTCTGTAATAAGTGGAATGTGATTGCATGGATGATACCTGTTATATCCAGAGATTTCTTGTTAAATTGAGAGCCACAGGTGTCTTCCCTTCTCTCTCTCCTGTAACCATCGCTTTCCAAAACTTGCAGAAGAAAGTACAGAAAAATGGTCTCTCTGTCCTGGTCTTGCATACCTGGTCTCGCTGTCCTCCAGGAGTGGAATACGTATAAGCATGCCCTAGGATAAAGAATGGTTTTTTGACAGAGAGATCCTAAACTGTGATGCAGAGCTGCTGCTGGACTATCAAGAACTGAGCAGTTAAAT